CCTATTGGGGTTCAAAACTTAAAACTTCATCATTTACTTAATTGTTTGATTATTATTGTATAAACTTGGTATCATTGACTAAGAAATTTTAGTTCACAAAAGGTTTTAAAATTTTTGTTTGATGCTTAATCTATTTTCTAATAAGAAGACATTTCTGAGGCGGAATGGGTTATTACTCATACTCCTATTAATATAAGAAAAATTAATAAATATAGAATTCATTTACCGTGCGCGAATTCATTTACCGCAGGTGCAAAGCCTTGCCCACATGCGAGACGACAAGAAAAATGCAGCCAAAATAAAGTCTTGGGAAATCGGATACGCTCCTGGAAATGTTTTGGGAGAAGATTTAGGTAAATTCCTTAAAAGAACTGGGTGGTTTAGATATAGGCGACCTGTAACCATACGCTCAATCGCGGCCTGGCGATCACGGGGTAGTGGTAACAAAACGGCACATTTGTGCTTATTGGAATGTGGTGGACCTGCACGCCAACCTGCACTGGCCACGTCAACCAATCAACCGACTATTATTTCTATTGAAACCGGCTTATATACAAAACTATTTATCTATCATAATTAATTCAAATTATTTTTATATGCGTATCAAAGAATGTTCGAAGGGTATTATAAATATTTAACGCTCGATAACATTTGCAACGTTAAGAAATAGACGAATATATGTGATATAAACTTGTGTTGTGTCGAATGATCAGAGTCGATTTGTTTGAATTTTTTGATCAGTGATGAATTTTGAGTCTGTTAAATCATGTCTGTGCGTTCGTCCAATTTTCGTCCAAGCAATATCTCAAAAATCCATCAAGCTAGACTACCGAAATTTCCATCAATTAAAAAAAAATCATTAATGAAGGAATACGACACGAATACGAGTAAGTTGTTTTTACATTTTCTTTGCATTTTCATTTCTGAAAAAAACTTAAGACGAGTTAAGGCAATCACAGTCCATTCCAAGAGTATTTCATAATACTTTTCTTAATTTAAATTTAATAAAAAAATTTATTGAATAAAGTTCGCACCTACACAAATGACATTCATTTTTTTTCTTCTATTTTCCAAATCTTTTGTATTTTATAAAAAAAATGATGTACTAAATTCCTTTTGAAAATGATTCAATCAACTCTTGTTTCTCTGTACATGTACGCATGTAAAACAAATTAAATATTTCTGGAATAGAAACGTAACTAAAATTTTCAATTTAAGTATAAAAATAGAATTCGGATAAATTTTGTAATATGCCTAATATTATGGTACTTGAATAAATTTTCTTATTTTTCCTCTTACGTACATCCCTTGTAATCATACTCGTATATTCCTTATAATATTCTATACAAGATAAAATTATATTATAGATTTACAAAATGTATTTCTATTTCATCAATTCAAATATTTTCAATAAATTTGAGTTAAAATTAAATTATATATTTTTTTTTCATTCATATTTATAGATTTTATATACTAAATTCAATTTTTTTATTTTTTTTACATATTCCAGGAATTATGGAATCCTAGAGTTCGAGGATATTGTTCACATACATCGAAAAAATCAGGGACTAATTCAGGTAAGAAAACTCTATAAAAAAAAAGTATTCAATATTATTTTGAATAATGGCGTCTATTTTTATATACATTGTGTATAGAATGGGGATTTATGGGGATTTATCGGGTAAAATTTTTATTTTATATGAAAAATAATAAAATTTTTGCATGAAATATTTTTCAATTTGCTCTAAAATTTATTTTTATACAAAAAAATAATTTAATATAAAAGATTCTGAATTTTTATTTTCAAATCAACGTAAAATATTAATTTATTGTGATTTTTTATAAAAAATGAAATTAATAAGGATTTTAAATTAAAAAAATGATTAAATTAAATTTCATCTTCAAATCAAACATAAAAAAAAAGCTATTAAAATGAGATTTTACTTATAAAATTCTTAAAATTTTCTCAATGTTATTTGCTATTATTAAATTACATTTTATTAAAAGACGAATTTTATTTTGGGGAAAGTAGTCCGAACTCAGCAAATTACTTTATATATTGTGACATTAAAATTATTAATATGGCAAAAGGAAATGGGTTTTAGCAGATTATGTATTGAATATATAATTTCCAAAGCCACGGTATAATTATTTGCTTAAGTTCGAAATAAATCATACTAATTGCAATAATACTGCTTTTTGAAGAGTAAAAAACAATAGGCTAGAAATAAGTAATACGGTTTGTTATGTATTCTTATCGGAACATAGAATGATAGAAAAAATTGTATGCAATTTCGCTAATAGGAGTTTGATTGATAGATCTAGATTTTGGTTGGCTAGATCTTAATTGTTCGAAAGATATCAGTTTTTAAAAATTTTACAAAATTTTATTTTCACTTTGTTCTAAAGTACTAACAGCCTAAAGATCCTGGAAGAAAAGTTCTTAGTCCTTCATAGAACATCTAAACGAAATATCTCGGCATTCCACTCACATTTGAATATGTCATTTTTCCAATATATAATTACAAATTTTTTCAACAAAATTTTCTCATGTTTTCTCAGCTGACATACGCAATATGAAAAAAATTTCCTAACTCGCCGAATAAAAAGGCGAGATACATAGTCAAACCCTCAAAATAATTATGAATTCGAAAATGTTTTAAATGTAAAGAACTTCAGCATCTTTCTCTACAGTTCTTTTACGAATCCTGTCCCATTAAAGATCTTAACCTTCTTTAGCTACAGTTCTTTTACGTAGTCTGTCCCATCAAAGAACTTCAGCTTCTTTCTCTACATTAGTTAGTTTAACAAATATTTCCTCTTCTACAATAATTTGAATTCTCTTTAATGAATCCAAAGCTAATTAAAGATTTTATAGCAACATTAATCTTTACATTATTATAATAGATTTATTAGAAAAATTTGTATTCAGAATATTTAACTTAAAGTTGGTAGAATTTATTAAATAATGTTGAATAAAATTACCATAACAACTATAAACGAAATGCTTTTCATTAAGAACGTTCAATGAGTCATAATTTAATTGACATTATAAATTTGTGTCCCTTTGCTTAGAATGTTATTGGTAATTAAACAAATAGAATAATATTCTGAAAACCTTGATTTATAAGGCATTTATTTAAAATATTTTATTACTTTATTTAATTATTTTATTAATTTATTTTAATATTCAAAATTTTATAATATTTTTTAATGTGTTAATATAGAATAAATTAATTACCTTTGAAATGACAAGTTACACGTAATATGAGAATTGAGAACAAAAAATTAAAACGCATAAAATATAAACATGCGCCTCCTAAATTTATGCAAATTTTAATAATAATAAAAATTATTTTTCATTGCTTTTCTATTTTCCTATTTCTCATTGTATTGAAATTTTGCATAAATATTTCTCTATATACTTATGCATTTTATATTATCTTTTGTATAAAATCAAATTTTCAAATATAATAAAATATTATATTTCTAATTTAATTTTTATTGAATAAAATGTATATGTGTATAATATTTTATTTCATATTATAAAAAATAATATTTTGACAAAGGCTTTCATTTTAATTCAACATTTCATTTTATTAAATTTGATATTTGAAATTTATCTGAATAATTGTATTATGTAGTGGAAATTTCTGATATCTGATTATAAATTTTTATAATTTATTATATTAAAATCTTATGGGTTTAAATAATATTTAAAATACAAAAATTTCCATTCATATTAAATAAAAACCTAAACATAAACACACGGACATATTGGAGATAAAATTAACACTTTTATTAGAGAATTATTTTTTATTGAAAAAGGTGGATTTTATATCGATTTTTTAAAAACAAAAGATAATTAATAAATTAATGTTATCTACAATTTCATATTTTAATTAAAATTGTATTTATTTGAGAAATCAATTATTTTGTAAAAAATTATAATTAAAATGCAATCGAGCAATTTTATATTTAAACGATAAAATTTCTAGGGTCTTGATAGCAAAATTAAACAAATTATTTCTACATATGAATATTACATATGAATATTCTACATAAATATTTCTACGTATGACTATTTTTCCCAATTATATTAATATTACAATCTCCAGTTATTTATTTTTCCAGTCCCAAAAGTGTTTGTATAATTTTTCTTCAAATCCAATCAGATTTTTACTAACGTACATACAGCCGGGTCCCTATAGTGGGGCATTAACCAACATCATGTGCAGCATATAATGATGGAATGACATTTAAAGGTATAAGGTAACGATTTAGCAGCTGCTTTATGTTAATGTGTCACTGTACGGAACATCGTGAATGTACAAATATAGTCACACTGCATAATTTCCAATAAATTCGAATAATTTTGGAAAAGGAATAACGAATCAATTTTAAGAATTAGAGAATTGGAATGTATGGTTGACACAGTCATAACCGCAGTATAAGTAAAAATTTGAAAATTTTTGGGACAATATTGGGTTTTTAAACAAATAGTAAATCTACAAGATTAATGATAAATACTACCTTATATTAATCAAATGCACCTAAAATAGCAACTTATTTAAGATCATTAATTTTTTTTTAAACAAAAATAATATTAGATAAAAGCACATTTGGTTTGAGTTCGTGATTGCAGTTCTAACAAAGATTTGCAATATGGCAGCACGTTTTTGTAGTTTGCTGCAAAAACCATTCAATTTTTATTGGTAGAACTGCAAAACATCTTCTGTCAAATCGATAGCATAAATTTTTTTTTCTCTTTTATATTCATAACCTCAATTAGTAGAAAATTCATTATTGAGAGAGTGTAGACAGACATTATTAAATTTTACACCAAATTTTTCGTTGGCAGTACTGCTTTAGTAGTCCTATTGCAGGGCAATTTTAACCAATAAGATATCACGCGAATTTCACCTTGTTTCTTTTAGTATTTATTAAGAATATAGTAAACATTTAATTTAATATTTATTTATTTATTAATCCACTTACAAACATTTACAAAAAAAAAAAAACACAAAACAAGGAATTTTTTAATAATAATATAATTAATTAATATTAAATATTTAATATGTTAAGTATAATTGGTTTTAATAATACTTTAAGCAGTTTACAACACTTATTTTTTATTATTTTTCAATAGTATAATTAAATTTAATTTTTTTATATAATAATTATTAAAGTATAAATTTTTGCAATTAATTTTTATTTTATAGCCGTTCATCTACACAAACATATGTCCATCCATCATTTCTATCACGAAATTTTTCATAATTTTTATTATTTTCATCATGTATATCCTTAACGATATCATAAACTTTAGCTGGATCATAAACTTCAAATGATTCAAATTCAATATCATCTTGTTTTCGTTTTTCAATTAATGTTTTATCATTTGCAACATAATGTTTAATAATTGAAGTGCTATCGCTAGCTATTGTTGGTGCTGAATTACAACTATCAACACTAAATGCACTCTCTGAATATGATGAACGACGACTAACTGTACGATTACAATTTTCTGGTATTATAATATTTGTTGTTGTTGCTGATGATGTTATAATTGGATCAGAAATTCTTTTTTCTAAATTTGTATTTTTAATACTATTTGAAATAGAATGTCCTTTTTCAGCTGAAATAAATTTTTCATTTGATAATTTTTTATTAATATTCATATCATTATCCTTATAATTTATTTTCTTATCATTTAAATGATACTGTTGTTGTTGCTGTTGCTGTTGATGGTGGTATTTTATTTCTTGTTCTTCTTCATTTTTTATTATTTTATTATTACTTTTATCGATTTTAGTTACCGGAACGTTAATATCTTTGTTAGATGAAACCATAACAGTGGTTTGTTTTGAATTATTTGATTTTTCATTATTATTGTTATTATTATTAACAATTTTATCATGGGATGACCGATTTATTTTATTCATATTCATTGAAAATATTTCATTTCCATTTGTTTGCTTCGAATTTTCTATACCATTGAGCATTTTATTATTTTTTATATTTATAGTTTTAGTTTCATCTTTTACTATTACAACATCCTGTTTATGATTATGATTATTTTCCAAAATATTTGAATTAATTTTAGATTTTTTGGTCATTTGATTTTTTAATACTTCTATTCCATTTGTATTGTCTGAATTTTGTAAATTGTGGTTGTTAGAATTTTCATTTGAATTACGATATTGTTGAAAATCTTTGTTGTATTCTTCATAATGATGTGCTTCAGTGTTTTCATTTACATTTGTTCTACTTAATTTTTGATTATTTTTTAAATTTGTAGATGTTGAAATGTTTAATTTTGATGTTAAATTTTCTCTTTCCATAATATCTAAAAAGAAAAAAAAATATTTTTTAGAATTTTTATTAAAATTTTATTTTATTTATTTTATAATTTTGGGCTAAAATATTTGATATTTATTTTAATGTTCAACTTTTGTGGTTGTCAAGCATTTAGACTGGAAATTTTTTTTTAATTTATAAACGATAGGGAACATAGACCTATAGTAAAGGAAACGTTCTAAGATGCAATTTATGGATTTTGAACGAAATTGGAAAGAAACCAGTCATTTGAATTAAAAGTAAAAATTATTTTTCTGGTTAGATTTTGAACAGGCGGCGTCACTCAATCAAAGCGAAGTAAATCATATTTGTTTATGAGTTAATCTGGTAAAGTTTCTATAAATAATAGTCTTATACTTAAAAAAATTAAACTAAAATTGTCATCTAAAGCAATTTGGAATGAATTAGAGTTATTATCACTATTCTAAGGGGTAAAAGACATTCTTAAAATTTTTTTTTGTGAAAAAACTTGTTAAATATTTCAACATTTTGATTGAGATTTAAACAAAAGAATTGTATAACACTTGATTGCCAACTGGCTATACACGCAACAATATTAATAGATTTGTTAATTAACTTGTAATTTTTTTTTAAATTATTTTTAATTTTAAAACTTAATTTACTCAAAACCATAAATTTTGGCTTATAGTCGGTTTTGTGTTCTTAAATAAAAATAATTTTCTAAATGTTAACTACGATTTCTATGTCATTCTGTTAGAGAATTTTAAAATATTCGTTTCAATAAAACATGATAATGGTTCTTTATTCGTGTGTGTGTGTTTTTTAATCCCATTTTAAAAATGAAAATGTCCCAAATGAATCAAAACATATAAATTATTTCAAAATATTTTTATAGTAACGTGTTCATTCAAATAATTTTCGAATCACATGTATGTACATAATGTGCATTGTAACATGTGCTTATTCTGTTAAAGTTCATTGGTTTTTTTCTTCTAAGTTAAATGCAATTTTTTCTCGACCAATTTCCCATTGTAATATAGCAATCAATTTAATTTTATTTCATATTCTCTCGTTCATACCCTTAATTAACTTTCTGACCTTAAAACATTATCCCTACGAATTTTCTACCAAAATATTTAAAAAAATATATATATATATATATACGAGTATATTAAGAGCACAACCATAAAATCATCATCAATTCTATTTGAACATTTTAGATACGCTACAAAACTTTCTTTTTACAATGTAATTAAGTATACGATCTCTAACTTACCGTTATTATTTTCAGTAACTATATTTGACCGTTGTGATGTAATACAACTCGAATTACTAACATTCTTTCGTTTAGCTGTCAAATTGAATGCTAAATCAACATTTTTATTACGAGAAATTTTATTTAATTGCATTTTATCATCGTAAGTAAGAAAGCTATCATCGTTATCGTTTTCTTCTTGTTTTAAAATATCCTTTTCAATGTTATCATTCAATTCTCTTGTATCCTTTTCTAAAATAGACATTGTTGTTGTTGTTGTTGTTGATGTTGTTCTTAATACTTCATTGAAATTCTCATTGTTTTTACAAGAATCAGATTTAATTTTTAAAGTGTTCTTTTCTTGGTTCTGCTTATTGTGTTGTTGTTGGTGTTGGTGTAGTTGTTGTCGTTGTTCCGATTGCTCTTTAAAACTTGTTAATGTTGGTATACCACCAATTTTTATATTGTTAACAGTGACATTTTTATTATTTGGTAATTCATCTTTGGTTTTTATTCCATCTTCTATTAAATGACTATTTATTGTTAAATTTGAATTTGATAAACTCGATTGATGATAAGGAATATAGTTCTCTTCATTTATATTTGAAGAATTATTATTTTTGGAAAATTTTTCAGTAGATTTAATTTTATTATTATTATTGTTGGATTTTTTAAGTGTATTTTTTGTTTCTAAACGTTGTACCAATTCACGAACACCTAATTCTTCAGAATCTTTTTCATTATAATCCTTATAATGTAGAATATCTTTTTCAGTACCACATAATTCAAGACGACTGCTACAACTATTCGATTTAATCAAACGGAATTGTAAACCTGAAAAGGTTGAAATATATATATATATATATATTGTTGATGTCGTAAATAATTTTGTAATCAAAAGAGCAGATAAATAATGTTGTAAAACATGAAAACAAGGAAGGAAGCATATTGTTAAATTACACAATTTTATCTACAACTGCAATAAAAGTACATGGACTATTTAAACAATATATATAAATAAGTCCTTGGAAACTTGAACTAGGAATACTTTTATTATAATGTTGCATCGATTCAAAACTATCAACTTTTTTTTTTTTTTTTGCAATTATGTGAAAAAGGAAAAGTTGTATTAATTAAGGAATACTTTTACTTGTTAAAGTTGAGTACTTGCTCTTAAACATAATGAATAATGAGTATAAGTTAAGTTTGTCTTTGTCATTTAAAAAAAAAAAATAGTTAATTTTCTCAAGAGGTAATTGAGATTATTTTTTAATTGTGAAACTAATTTCTATATTTTTCCATCACCGCAAATAAATTAGATAGCATTGCCCTTCAATTCTTTAAAGTTATTAAAAAATTATAAAAATTAATTAAAAAGGCTAGTTGAATAAAGTATAGTCCAAGTTTAAACTCTTATTTTATTAAAGAAAATTAAGGAAGAGCATATTGCAATTAAGGAGCGGCTAGGATTTTTAATCTTTTCATTATAATTAGAATTTATTTTGGGGTTGAGTTTATTTAAAATTTTTTATCAAATCGATGACAATGCCAAATTTATAGTTAACCAATTGATACCGAAGATAATAAGAATTGTATGGTACGTTATGTGGAATACCGTCATGTGCCTGATTTAGACAAAATTGTACAATTCGTGTAAGTGTATTTTTGGCTATGCTATTCCATAAATGAAAATTAAATAAATTTTAAGGAAGATGAGGGACACAATAAAGCAAATCTTTGTTAATCTTTGTTAATGCTGTTATACTACTCATACTTTGTATTGAATTACTGAATTACAACACTTGTTGTTTTAACAACAAAATTTTTATTCCAATGGGAAAAAATTGTCAATTGGGGAGCCAAAATTTTATATACAAACAGTAAATAAATTCAATTAATATAAAGACCATAGAATTGAATAGCATTGGTAAATATAGAATTGAAATAATTTTTATTTGTAATGTGTAATAAATCAATACAGCAATGATTTATGAATGTACCATGATTTCTTGGCCAAATATTTCTGTACATCATTGTTTTCTTAACTATTCTATAAATAAATTCATGATTTATAAAATTTATGGTTATATTTTCATTGAATATTAAAATAACAGTTGCGACCATATCCCAAAAATTCTATTGATATCATATAGATTTAATAAATTTGAAAAAGCATGAACCTGACACACAAGGGTAATTTTTATTTTAATTTTGTTATACATTATTAGACTCTGCGTTACTTGCCCTGTATCACAACATACACCCACAAAGCATAAGTAAAACATATATAAAAAAGAACACATACCAATATTTTTGGCAGCATAAAATTTCTCCTTAATTTCTTCCTCATTTGGGCAATTATTCGGTTGACAAGCATTGCATGTTATTTTTGATTCTTTGCCATGTATTTCATCTATAATAGCTTTTGCGGTTGGACTTAAATCTGGTGATTTATTATTCATTATTCTTCCACCATAATATGTTATTGTTGAACCACATTCTCTGATTTTCTCAAGAACATCCTGTTCATTATTCGGTCCAATTTGAATTTCGATTCGTGTATGTGCACATGAAAATATTAAAAATATAAAAGACGATTATTTTTTTAAATTAAAATTATTAAAATATTAAATAAGTGAAGAAATTTTATAATATGTAAAATGCAACCTACCTCACTAACATAATATGATTCAGTTGCATCGTCATCATCATCATCATCCTCTTCATCATCATCATCAATATCATCGTCATCCATATCATCGACATTATCTGCGACACATATTAAATTGCTGCTATTACTATTATACAATGGATGATGATGATGCTGATTATTAATTTTGTCAATAATTTTACTGTTATTATTACCAACATAATGATGTATGTCTGTTGCATTATTGCTATTATGATGATGATTTTGTTTAATAATAATATTATTGCTATCATGATTATTTGTATTGATTATATTATTGCAATCACATGATGGTGGTGGAGATGATAAATCACCACTTGATATACCACTTGACAAACTAACTGAATCCCATTTTCTCATACCTACCATATTTGTGTTACCATATGATGTGTCAATTGTTAAACATCGCATATTTTGTTTATTATTATTCTTCAATTGAATTTCATTTAACTGTTGTTGTTGTTGTTGCTGTCGCTGTTGTGCCAATGACATTATTGTATCAGTATTTTTATTAGCATTTCCATTACAATCACTTTTGTTTTCATTACTCTTTACAATATCAGTTTTATAAAAATGTTCTTTATTATTTTTTATTGATGTTAAATTATCATCCATTGAAATTCCTATAGCTGGTTTACATGCAGTACGTTTTAAAACATTTTCTTCAAAGAATTTTCGAACATTACGTACTGTATCCGGATTTGGTAATTCTTCTTCGAGTAATTCACGATTTACACGTACAGGATGATAAAAAAAATGATGTTTGATAACTGATGATGAGGAAGATGATGTTGATATTTTATTATTATTCTCAGGACTATTTGTTGCCGATCCACCAGTTATTTTACAATTGACTGTCTTTGAAATTTCATTTCCATTGTGGCAATTATTGTTGTTTGATATTTTTTCGACATTTGTTCTTACCGGCTCAATAATAACAACATTATTATTATTCAAGAGCTCTTGAAAACTGTAGTCCTATTTAAAAAGAAACAAATAAATTTATTAATAGTACCCGCATATGTAAAAGTTTTTTTGAACAAATGAGGAACCTCCTCAGAATAGAGGAGGAAATTGAACTCTTCAATCAAAAAGAAACAGCCAAATTTGTAGCAATTACCGGGTGTGGGAATATATTTAAAATCTTTATTTGACAATTGAGCAGACAATGTCAAAAAAAATTTATCACACGTTAATTGACTTAATAACGCAGTCATGTTTACAAGGGGAGTTTATCAATGATACTCTCTATCCACTCTATACTATTTGCCACAGTATTCAAGGTTTAAATGAGAGAAATAGAAGCAGAAGTGACATAACGCAACAGCTTCCACAGAGGCTCTCAAAATTGGAGTACGCCGGTAACATATTATTAAGATAAGTAATTAGACAGAAGAAATTTTATTAGAAAAGGAAACTATTCTCCGTATAAAATTTGAACTGTAAAGGATGTTGAGTGCTTGGATTGTGTGTTAGCAGTCTTTTTTGTTAACCTTTCCAGTCTCAATAAACAATAGAAGAAAATTAAAATATATTATCATATGTATTTGAAAGTTTATTAATTTCCCTCTACTTAAAACTGACCTTTAATGGGAAAAAAACTCTGCTATTAAGGACGTCCAAGTTTGCATTCCAAAGAACTTTATAACAATAAATTGTTTCACGTTCTTTTGAACTATTAATAAGGATTAAATAACGAAAAAGCGAGAAAAGAAAAGTTTTCAAATGCTCACAGTCTATTAACATTCCATAAAAAGATGAATGCAAACAGAAGGAAAAAAATGTAAATTGTCTTCAAGTTTTAAAAAATTTTCAAACAAATAAACAAGATTACATTTAGCGAAAACACAATGTATAATGTTCAGAAAAATTTGCTACTAATATAAATCCATCAGAACTTTTAAAAGAGTTTCTCGTAATAAAATTAAATATACCGTAAAACTTTATAAAGTGAAAGTGATGAAACAAAACCATTGTTAAAAGATATGAAGCGATTAACCATTTAAACATTTTCTTTGAACAACAATTCAACATCCTTTACTGACATTCAAATGTATTTTCGTAATATTTATAAATTAAAAGCTTTTGGACACTATAAAGCAATCCATTACAAATTAAATTAGTTAATTTGAAGAGTGGCTGTTCTTGCATTTCTCAGGTCAGCAAAATTCCGTCGGCAACTCTCGAAACGAAAAATCCTATCTTTTCCAAAATAGATTATTGAAACTAACTCATCGTCTTTTAAACATAAGAACAAAAATAGAGGTGTGAGGCAATGTTTACTTTTTGGTTCGGCACTTATACATTTTTTGTTGTTGTGTTTGCTGTTGTTGTTGTGGTTTTACAATTTTGAAATTGATTTGTTATGGATGGGTTATTTTGAAACATATTAAGATTTTAATTTAATCAATAAGAGGTTGCTAGAATATTTTAAAATTTTCTTGTAGAAATTTTAATTAGGATAGATTTGAAGTCAAGATAACTGCAATATTGCCGAAAACTGAATAAATACGACCGAGTTATTGCGTTCAACTCCCACAATCTAACTTACAGTGAAGTGATTTATGGAGAGTAGGCATGTTGTTCCTGAGCTCCCATTCTAAAATCACTTTGTTTATGCACCGACGTAAATTGTATGGAAAGAGCTAGACAAGCGTGATAATTCGATATCATTTCGTTCTCCCAGTTTCCTATTACTTTAAGCTGACCTAAAGTTTTCTTAAAATTTTATATTTTTTTTTAAATTCCAACTTTCGACAATAAAGGTATTTTATTTTGTACAAACTTTTTTGGGTGGTTAACATTTTTATAATAATTTCATTTATAGAAGAGAAAACGAATCCGACACACAATAAAAATCCATTGTAATTTTCTAGCAAAGAACAAAGAAGATTCAATATTAAACTTTTTAATTTTATCTGAAAGAAATTTAATGGAAGAATTTTTTTGGATTAGAAAACTGAATTCTAAAAAATTTTTATTTTTAGATAAAATTTTATACATAGGCGAAAATAGAAGTACACAAGTGTATAGAAAGAATTCAAGTTTTACATCACGTTCCTATTTAATTTCAAATATATTTTTACGATATCAAGCTTATAATATGTAATAGGTTCTTTTATAGATGCATTAAATCACATATGTTGTAAAAACTTTTTACAACATTCATTCATTATTGTACTTGAACATAAAGTTAATTAAAAGAGTTTCAATTTAATTAAATTCTTAAGCTATAATGAAATTTTCTGCATTGTATCACAACGATTGTATCGTTTATATCGATTTTACTTTTTAAATAAATCATTAAAGTTATCCATTTGTAAAAGATAAACTAAATTATATTAAATTCTTAACAAAAAGGTATATGTAAGGATAAAGGATATATTTTTTGTCTTACCTGTAAATATTGTATTAAACCATCAAATTGCGCCTCACGTTTATTACGTGTTATAATACGATTTTTAAATAAATTCGATTTTATGATTTTATAACGTACATGATCAAATTCAGAACTTTCTATATTCTGAGCTTTGACTAGAGTTGCTTGTTTTTCACCATTTAATTCAACAACTTGTATTGTTGGTTTAACAAAATCATCATCATTTATTGATGTTGGAATTGCTGTTTTCTTTGCTGCTGCTGATGATGATGATACTGATGACAATGATGTTGTTTGAATTCGTTTCTCTTTTGTATTCAAATTGAATTCATTTTTTTTTGTATTATCAACAAAATTTGAATTATGTTGTAGATCTTGTGTTAAATTGAATTCTTTTGATTTTATATCGTTATTTTTATTCTTATTATTATCAATATAAATATTTTCATGTGATGAAGGAGTCATTATTTCAGTTGTTGTTGCTGTTATTGTTGCTTTTATATCATTTCCATTATTATTTTTATCATTTTCATCATTTGATGTCGTTGCTGTTGCTGGATTGTTTTGTATTAACTTGGACCAGTAACCTCTGACTGAATCAACTTTATTTAAAAATTCTTTTTCAATTATTTTATTATTATCATCAGATTGAATCTTTTTATTCTCTATAATTTTTGAATTTGCTCCCATTGTAGTTATAAATGAGGAAGATGTAGAAGATGAAAAATTTACAGAATCATTTGATTTTGTAATATTTGTATTTGTAGTAGATTTAATATTATTACTACCACCACTACTACTACTACTACTACTGCTACTAATATTATTATTGCCACAAACCGTATCTGCTCCTATTGTCAAAATGTCATTATCACTTATCGTATAATTTCTTGTATATTGTTCTTGCTGTTGTTGTTTTTGAATATTATTTGAATTTGTATTATGTTGACATTGTTGTTGATTATATTGAGGTGATTGTTTTTTTGTTGAAGAATCTATAACATGAAGTATTTGCGGACGTGACATTATGTCGTTTTGAACTTTTCTTAAATTTTTCTTCCTTTGAAGGATATAATTATCGCATAAATTTTCTTCTTTATTTTGATTATCTTGCTGATGTTGATACTGATGAAATTGATTATGATGATAATGTTGTTGATGTTGATTATAATGTTGTTGATGATGACGACGATGATGATGATAACGATTTGTAATAAAAGATGTGCTACTGTTATTATTATTATTATTATTACTGTTATTATAATTATTATCGATTGTTGATGACAGTATTTTAATAGGTCGAGCTTTAAAAATTTTTGTATCTTTATAAGTGGTACTATTGCAATCACGTGATAAAGAACGATTTATATTTGTTAATTTTATAATTTTCTTTGGTTTTAAATTTGAAATTTTTATTGTTGTCGTTGTATCAGATTGAATATCTTTTGTTGGTGTTATTGTAATTGATGATGATTGTGTTATTAATGATGATTCACTTTTCGATAAATTTTTATTTAATTCATTAAAATGTTGAATTTCATTAAAATGATATTTTGATTTGGGTTTAATGATTTTCAAATTCTCTTTTAATAATTGAATTTCTTCTTTGTTTATAGTTTCTTTAGGATTATTTTCTAATTTAAAATCAGTGATATCAAGTGTTCTTTCATTTATTGAATTACCCTCATTTACATATAAACTTTCAATGGAATCTTCTTCAATAATATTATTTTGGGTATCAGTAACAACAATACGAAATTGTCCTGGGAAATTATTTGTTTTTTCATTAATATGAAAATCTGGTTTTTTATCATTTAAATTTCTAGATATTTTAATATTTGAATCTTCTTGTGATAGATTTTTATTATTTTTAATTAATTCCCTATTTGATCCTTTAAAATCTATTTCATTTATCGTTTTATTTAATGTAGTCGAATCTTGTATTTCAATGCAAGGTATTTCACGTGGATTTTCAATACTATCACAAAATGAAAAATTTTCTCCTACAACAATATCATTTTGTAATATGCTATCTAATTCTTTTAAAATTTTTTCTTCTCCATCATCTAAATAACAATATTGATTTTCATTATCATCATTCGATTCCAAACCATATGATGATATTGGAAATGGTAATTTTGAAGATGACGATAACTTTTTTAATTTAAGTGGTGGTGGAGATGAAGTTGGTAATGGTGGTGGGGGTGGTGGAGGTGGTGGTGGTGGTGGTGGCGGTGGCGGAGGCGGCGGTGGTGGAGGTGGTGGTGGTATTAGTGATGCTACAATTTCTGGTGGATTATATTCACGTTGTCTGGCTCTTTTATGTGCTTGTCCAAAACGTTTTATTGAATCATAAATAACTGAATTTTTATCTTGATTATCTTCTGTATTACTATTATAATCTTTATAGAAATTATTAATTAAACTTCCTCCTCTCCAACCCTGTTTTTGAATTTGATTAAGTTTCTCTTGACTTAAACTTAAATTGTATGATGAACGAAGTTTAGCATCAATTGATTCTGATACTTTAAGGCTACGTCCAATATTAATATCTGGTAAACTATAATATTGATTATCAATTAAATTTGGGCGAAATGAAATATTTGGACAGATTTCGTTCGAATGTAATAGCTGTGATGTTGAAATATATGTTAAATGTTCTAATGTTCCGCGTTTTGATGTTGTAGCATAATCTGAGAGACGTTTTAATTTCTTTTCGACTGCTGTTATTGTTCTTGAATTTATTGTTTGATTTTGATTACTTTTAACTGATGGTGAATTGCTAAAAGTATAGAAAAATTAAAAAAAATTTAATAAAACTTAAAAATTGAATTTATTTTTTTAGAACTAAGAAATGAATACCTTGATTTTTTCTCTAAACTTGTAAAATGTTTATTTTCCTCAGTTGGTAATTTTTCTGTTGACTTCCACCTAATTAAGGTATTTTCCAAATTTTCAATTTGATTTGTTTGGTATTCTTTTTCTTGTTCCTGTTCTTCTTTATCTTGTTTCTTTATTGTTGTATTTTCGACTATTAATATCCTTGATGCTTCCTCAGAAATATCTTTTATTTCAACTATTGAATTTCCTAAACTTTCTTCTTTTATATTGTTCTCGGAGCAACTATCTTCTGATGATAAATATACTGAATCATATGCTATAACCGGTTTGCTGTTATTATTTTTTTGGTCGTCCTTTTTTGTATCCTTTAAATTTTTTACGGTTATAGAACTTTTTGTTAGTGTACTACCGCTATCACTATTTACGTTATTATCTGATAAATTTATTTGTTCTTCTTTTTGCAAATTCTTATTGTTATCGTTATCCTTTACTAGTTTCGTTGATGTTGTTGTATTTGTTATATTATGATTTTTTTTATTATGATTTGAAACTTGAATTTGTGCAGAAAATTTCCCGTGAGATTCAATTATATCTGTTTCTGATTTAATATCCTTTTGTTTTATATCAGAATTTGTTAGTGTTTGATGTTCCTGTTCTTTATGATTTAGAGATTTATGTTCTTCAACTAAATTTCTATTATCGATTTTTGGTATTTCATCAGTAAATGATGTATTACTATCTGTTTGATCATCCGAATTACTTGTAGTTGTTGTTTCAGGTAAATTACTACTACTTTGGCAATTATCTTGCTGTTGATTTTGTTGTATTTGTAATTCAAGTAAATGAAATTTACTTCCCTGTAATGTTGTTTCTTTCGATTTGAATCGTTTTTTTGAATAAGTTTTTGAATTTGACGATGAAATATGATGATGTTGCTTTAAATGATGTTGATGATAAGAATTATTTGTTGTAGAACTTCTTGATGATTTACTTTTCGTATATGTTGAATTAGTATTTGTATTCGATGAATCTATAATTGTAAAATAAATAAATTGCTTAATATTATTTAAATGATTGACAAATAATACAAATTGAAAAAAAATAAATTCTAAATACATATTTATTTCGAAAAATTAGTTTGGGCTGCTGAGGAATAGATAAATTTACGAATTGTTGAAATTTCGTAAGTTTTAACCTTCTTTTAACTTGATTTACTTCAGTATATTGGAAAAATAGCAGGAGAATCAAGATTGAAATTTCATTGAAACACAAATTTTTGTTATTTTCGAAATAATTGTTCCTAATTAGTAAAATACATGAGGGAATTTACAGATTTTCAGAGATCTAAGTCTAATTCTCGCATTGCTCTTTAAAAGTTTAACAAATTTCTTTTCTTCTCTAATCCAACGATTTACTCATTTCAACGAACTGGAAGCTTCATTCTTTCATTTTACGCTCTCTTATCGATGAAATTTTTCTCTTTTTTTGAATTTATCGGAAAAATAATGTGATTTGAATTACTATAAAATTTACAAACCTTAATCTGTATAAAACAAAATATGCTCCGTAGTATATGCAATTCATTAAATTTCTCAAATTAAAGCAAAACTGAACTCATTTATCAAATTTCGAAATTTTAATAAAAATTCATACAAGGTGTAATTTTTTTTAATTTACATGGTCGTTAAGTGGCACTATTGAAACTTTGAAAAGCTTTACTACATCAAAACAATTACTGCTTCATTTCAAAATGAATTTGAATAATAAAAGGGTTTTTATTTATAGAGTAGATCCACTGTAATTAAATATGCAAATTAATCATAAACCTTATCTCCTTTTCACGTGATTAAAATTTTATTGAATTTTTAAAACTGTTCTATTGCAAGTACAAATTTTGTAATAACAAAAGTTTATTATTAAAATAATTTTTTATGGAAATTTATTTTTTTAATTATATAGTTACATAACATATAGAAGATGTGCGTGTGTTCAAAATGTGAATAGAATATTAATAATTTTTTATTTGTGACTACCTATAATTTTATTTAAATTTAAGTACAACGAAAATTTTCAAATTATATGCAAATATAAACTTTTTAACTGCAAATTGATTTTTAAAATAAATTAAAATTAATATTTAGTGATAGCGTTTTAGAAAACGTGATCGTGTTTAAGTTTTGAATATTCATTCGACTATGAAATTATTTATTAAATTTTGATATTACTAAAATAAAAAACTGAAGAAATTTATTAATAAACTTTTTCCGAAACTATTTTTAGATTTGAATGAATCTTTTAGAAACTACTACGAAAAATGTTTCCGTAAAAATTCGTTACGCTTTTATTAAGTAAACAAATTTAAAATTATGATTTATTCAATCTTTGATCTAAACTTTTTTTACGACACCCGAAATAGTTGTTCGGAAATTACCTAAAATCCAAAATTCCCAAAGTTACAACTGTTTTAGTATAACAATTTAAAAATTTTTGAGATTTAAGAAACTTTTTCGACCTATTTGCTAAAATTAAGACGAACAAAATTAATTTGCTAAAATCTGACCTAACCTTATCAAAAAACGGTTTGGCATTTGCATTCTGTTCCCATATTATTTCAAATTAATCAAAAGTGAATCAAGTATAGAAGTTTTAAATTTATGGAATAACTGTTTTGCAAATTTTAACAGAATGTAATAGATTAAACTATGGAAAACTCGTTACAGTTCTGATTATACCCATTAATAGTTTTGTAATTAAACTCATGATTATTTTCAAAATCAATATGTTTTCAAGAGTGATTTTTCCGTCAAATTGAAGTTTATCTTAACTCAGTTAAAACATAAATTAAGTGTCTACTGTACGAAACCGTGCTAAGTTATTTTTTAAAACTGAATTTCTTAATTATTCTGTATTTTGAAATCAGATCCCATTTCGCAGAAATATGTATAAAATTCGATTTTTTTTTAATTTGGCACTGTATAAGTATTTGAGATTCGATTCATATGCTAATAAAATTGAAAGGAGTAAGCGCTGTACTGTAATAATGATTTATTGCAAGTTAATCCAAAGTTAATATTGTTATTGAACTTAAGCAACTTGTTAATTAATCCGATTCTTAACTTATTCAATTCTTGCAATTTATTCAATATTCAAATTCATATTAAAATTGTACATTCAATTTTGTAGTTACATTCTATTTGATAAATTAGTATTAGTTCAGTTTACATAACCCAATTATAACCCTCTAATTAATATGGGGTCATTTTATACAATTGCTAATTAAAATCGCTAAGAATGCTTTAAGTATTAAGCCTTATACTATTTGAGTATAAAATAAAAAAAAATATTTTAAGTTTTACTGAGCAATACTTTGATAAAAAGTACAGCCGTTTCAATAACTTTCACATGCACAGGTGCTAATAGCCTATTTTCAGTGTTCTTTATTGTTAAACACTCTAAACTTCCTTTAGAAAAATTACGGTTCTCCCTTTATAGTACTAACAAATTGTTTTCATTCTTATGAACTAATTAAAATTTCATGTCGAATTCTAAGTTAATTTATGATCAACAACTCTCAATTAGTTCGTTCCAACCGATAACTTAAAATTTCTTGCAAATAAGAAAAAACGAAATCTCATCGAACTTGCCAGGTTTCAGAAATTATTCTAGTTTTTTCTTGAAACATTATTAATGGCATTTTATTTCATTCATACGTCATAATAGTATGAGTTGTCATGAGAGTACTTGTAATTGTATGAGAAATTGTCATACCACACACCATAACCCACCACATCACATTACTCAAACCTGTAATTTAATTAGTCAGGATTAAACACGCCTTCATTAATATCGGTAAGGCGACTTTGGTGCCATAAAATATCTAATTCCGAATTTTGACGATAATTTTTACAAATAATATTGAGATTTTACTGTACATCAAATCTTTTGACTAGAATTGTATAAAAAAATTCTGCTCTTTTCTTATAATATACTCGTAAAGCTAAAAATATTTTTTAGTACATTTATATTAATTATCTTAATTAGCATTAATGTTAAAAAATATATATAAATATTAAACATACATACATACATACATATATGTATAAATATATTTTGCATATAAATCAAAATTAATTTTATTTAATTTTTTTTTTTGTTACAGGTACGATTTCAAACTACCTAATTACCGGTAAAAATTTTTTCAATTTATCAAAAATAATTTTAAATATTAAATGAACTTGTAGAAAAAAAAATACAAAATTATACAATTGAATGAGCGCTTACCTGTTCCTGCAGTTAATTGATTTGTTGAACCATCAATAATATTATTATCAAGGGAATTTTTAATTATTTCAATATTTTTCTTATTGTTGTTATTATTATTATTATTACAATTGTCTTTATTATTATTATTACTATTGTTATTACAATCAACAATAATATTATTATAATTATTATTGTTATTATTATCACTTTTACTTTTATTATTATTATTTTCGTTATTACAATTAACTGTTGTAACACAACCGGTATTTTGATGTAAAGAATTTTCAAAATAATCAGAATTTAAACTTTCTAAATCACTTTTATCGTTCGGCCACAATGATGGTGAATTTTTAACTGAAGACGATGAATCAAGACATTTTAAATTTGTGTAGTAATCATCTGATTCTCTTGTTGTTTGTGTTGTTGTTGTACTAGTAATTGTTGTAGCTTCTGATTGTGATGTTTCAATACCACTTCCGGCGCTATCTGTTGTTGTTGCTGCTGTTGTTATTTCTGTTGTTGTTGTCGCTGCTGTTTTTCCAGTAGCAATAGTTAATTCAATTTTATCACGACAATTACGATGATGATGATTTTTTTGATGATGATGATTATGTCGCGAATGTTGTTTATTTTGTTGTTTTTGTTGATCTTGTAGTTGTTGTTGATAATAATTATAGTGTTGTAGATGTGATCTATAATAATAAAGAGAATGAAACAAAAAAAATAAATAAATTAAAAAGCTTAAGAAACCTTAACAATGTTGATAAGAAAAAGATAATAAAGCAATATTTGCGTTTGTTATAGTTGTTACTTTTATGATCGTTACTTTTAAAAATATATAACTAAAAATATATGTACATAAGTACGTTTTTGTTTTAATAATAGGGTAGGGATAAAATTATTTCATATTTTTTTTATAATTCAAAATAAGTAAATGGGAAAGCTTTTTTATTCAATGTGAATTTTTAAAACTTTAAAACAAAAAATAAATCTAATGTGGTAACGCTGAAAACCGATTTATGAATAAAAAAAAAAATTTTTTTATTGTCGATTTTTAAAAAATATGCATGAAAAATAAAAATGATTTAAACACGATTTCGTAATTTATAATTTTAACAATGAAAGAAAATAAGAACTAAACGAACTTTTGAGTACGTAAAGTTAGAGCTGTGCAACTCAGTTAGTTTTTTGTTAATTTTATGTTTGAATGTTAATGCGATGATGAGTATTTGACAAGCGCAATTTAAGTGCAAAATAATTTTATTTTGTTCTCATAGGAAGTCGTCGAATATCTTTTTTTTTTTGTTTTTTCATTTCAATCTATTGAAGTAGCGATTATAATTTTGTAACATAAATTTTGCGTAATATTGTAGGTATTTATATACAATATCTAATCAAACAATTCTATGATTTTATAAAATTATATTTAGTAAGGTTGTTGAATCAATTTGATACTTATAAATTTTCATTAAATATTTACCCATTTTTCTGTAATCATATAGATTGTCGCATACTCCCGAGATAAGAACAGTCTTACTAGGTATACGTATAAAACACAAGTAGGGGTGTGAATTTTGGTATTACAAAAATTTTCGAATATTTTAAATGGAGTTATGGAAATAATTTTCTCAGTAGCAAAATTGTCGAGAATCTTTTCGCAACCAAAAACAGTTGAAAATTTTTCTATTTTATACGAATTTTGAGTGCCATTTATATTAATTGGGCCCTCCCCCAAAGTAGAAGGGAAATATTAGGGAACAACGTGTTTACTCTGGCGGAGTTGCGGTCTGGCGAAAATTCAAAGTTACTCGAATTCATATTCTTAACTTACATGATAAATTTATGGCAACTGCAGTAAGTATTATGAGCATATAATTGTTTTGAACGAATTTCAATTCCACAAAAATTTGAAAAACTCACAACTTTTCGATTCATCTTCGTATATTATATGTAAGTATATAGATAATATTAAAAATTACAAAAATCATCTTAACCTTGATTATCTTCAAATTAATGTTGTTAACATATACAAAAAAACAACATTCATACATACATTCTAATAATATTTTCAATTACTTTATTCATTAAAGTTTATTTTCATGTTATTAAAATTAAGAGGAAGAACTAATTTTAATTTTTCTTATTTTTTTTTCCATAATCCCATCAACGAAAATTCATAATCATTTTATATAAATCTATGCATACAAAATATTTATAATTTTCTTTTGAAATAGATTTCCTCTATAAATCTTCTATCTAAAATACAAAATCTATCTTTAATATTATTCTCTATTGAGTTCTGTAATTTGTGTATAGATCTTTTAGAATTTTACGCTTGAAAAGTTCTCGTATAACTATATTGAAACTATGAGGAAAAATAAAATTAAATTAAAGGTCTAAAAAATAAATTTTATCATTTTATTTTTTGTATTTTTAAGGTTATGTGTCATAGCATGCAATTTAACATTGCAATTAATTTAAATTAAATGTTTTAAAATGTTGTGTATGTCTAGCGTGTGTGTCTTATCTGAAATTGTGTACGAATCTTTGTGATAATTTCAAATTTCTGTAATAATTGTTATTGAGTTGAAAATAAATTATTACTTGATGTAAAATAATATTGCAAATTACTTAATATTATTATAATTTGTACTGTTAATAAAAAAAAATATTAAAATAATTTTATATAATAGTGGGACACTATGAGATATTATAATTTAAAAATAGAATTAAATCGTCTCGAATTATTATTAGGATTTTTTAGAATTTTGTTCTTGTGTTTAGTGTGTTCTCCCAAGGAAATTGAAATAATTATTATTATTGAGGATTCCCAGAATTGTTCTAGAAGTAAATTTTAATTGCTAGTCATATTTTAATTAAAAATTTCATAGTATGAATTATACTAACATTAAATAATAATTATATTTATTTTATAAATTGGTTTTTCACAAATTAATAAGTAAAAATAATGAATTTTCACTATAGGTAATTAAAATTTTAATTACTATTCTTCTTAATTTACTGCTTCTACATTTTGTTTGAATAATTAACACCTACTTCATTTTCATTTAGATTTGAAAATATTGAAATTATTTAAAGATGTCGTATTGTTCACAACCTTATATACTCTGTTTTATCTCAACGTAATTTTTTATAAAATCACCTCCATAGATAATAATCTAGCGCAGGATTTATAATGTTCTTCATTTTGTTTCATTCCTTTTTCGTATAAAAAAATAATTATTTCAATGAATAATTTTTTAACCAATAAAAATATCGATGACAATATCGAGGATATACAGGATACTTCGCATAAGGTGGCAAATAATTTCAGTACAAAAATGTAAGGGTTGAGGGGGTGGGCAGATATACCTGTTTTCGAACTACAACCTGTTGGAAAATTTTTCCTGTATATAAATAAATTCTTAAAACTTCGAAATTACGCGACATAAAGTAACCATCGGGATCTAGTTTCACAGGCGATTGATTACACGTTATTCCTAGTCTTACGATCAATTTGATTTGAGTCATAGTTTTTGAGAAAAAGCAAGTCAAAGTAAAAATTTTTGTTTTTTGGCTAGAAATTTATCAAAGAATCATCTCTAAATTTATTTGCCTTATCCAGAATAACCTGTAATATATATGTAAGTATATTAATTCAAATTCATTCTGCTTTCATACAACGTTCATACCTTGAATATAAAATTCGAATTTTTTAAATTCAATACTTAAAAAATTATAAAATGCATTATAAGAAATAAGTGTACCAAAAAACCATTTATTAATTATGTTCTCTATTATTAAAAACATAAAAGCGCACTATTCTGACAACATTTTGCCCACTTCATTAATGCGTGTACTAATCACTATTATATGAGTTGAAAGAAAATCTAATTTTTTTTTTTTTTTTGTTATTTATTTGTTTTTTCTTTTTTTTTTTTGTTTAATAAATCCTTGAAATGTGCATTGAACAAATAAATTGAAAATTTTCCTTTTAATTGATTTTTGCTTTCCATTATTTTTGAATTAGTATTCATAGAAAATAGAAAAAAAAAACCTTTTTAATACTAAAAACCATAATTATGTATATAGATGTTGTGAAGGAATAAATAATTATTGTTATGCCAGTTTTTGTCACCACATTAATTAAAAATACATCAGAAAATGCAAAGAGAACATCTAATGTTTTTTGATTATGTCATAGAATGCAATACTCGTACATTTCTAATTTTAAAAAAATAAAATACTGATTTTAAAATGAATGAGTGGGTAAAAAATGTGTAATTTTTTTTCCCAACACATTTTTATAATATCGAACGAAAAATTATTAGAATTGAACGCATTAAGTGAATTTATTTGTTGTTGTGTGTATATAGTTTTGCATTTATTCATCGAAATGAAAATATCAATACTTTTTCAAATATAAAGTAGACCGCACAATTTGTGCCCATATAATAGAGACTAGAGGGCTGTTTGTTCCGTGTAATACAATAGATTCTTATGGTGTGTTATTTTATTTTGTGATTCGCGATCCAGTTACGTTAGCACTATTCCTAAGTCCCCGACGAATCTCAGTATTACGTCCACCAAAAAACGTGAGACCTCCTAAAGGGTTACAAGCCCGCTGCCACCCCCCCCCCCCTCCCCCCCCGTAGTGCTTGAGCCTTAACAAAAGCCTCACACTCGTAAAGCTGATGCTCCGCTGTCTCGTTCTGTTCTAAATTTACTCCACAGACGACTTACACCACTTCCAAACTTGCCCATTCTTTTCAGATGAATCATGGATGAATAGCCCCCTCACCTGCTTCCTGAGAAGACCCCACAAATTTTTTGGAATGCGATATTCTTGGACAACGACTCTACTAGTCAATCTTACTCCAAATAAACTTAATGGAATTCAATTTTTTATCATATCTTGTGGCTTATATCCACGAAATAATTATTTCTTTATTTAAATTAATTGATCATAATGATACATCATTGTTCATCATCGAATTCTTAGCTATTTTCATTATTTTTGTTACAGCTAAATTAGATACAGTTAGAGTCACGTTCGTTTAGTTTTCAGAGATAGTTTCTAATAATAATTGCTACAATATTATTTAAATTATGTGTGTAGTTTTTGCAAAATAGTTCGAGTACCTATAATTTCGAGTTATATAATTTCAAAGAAAATTTGGACATGTCTCCAAAATATTTACGCTACAGTATAGTTTAAATTTAATATGAGCTATGTATATTCATAGTACACAAGACCTCTATTTGTATTAATCTATTAGGCAACTCTTAGAAACAATTTATATCGCGTTGAAATGGCAGAGTTTGGACGAACACTGTCATACCTTTTATCGTTTTTATTTTTCCAAAAATTTTCGACCTTCGTTTAAATAGAAGTCAAAATAATTTCTTAGTATTTTATTTCGTAAATAAATTTTTTTGTTTTTGTAAATTTCCTTAGGCATACGAAATCTATTGATTTTTTCTATTACAGAATCTTCAATTTATTTCACTTCAAATAAACTTTATATATGCATAAGTATTTTATAAACTTTTCGACGAAATATTGATGCACAAGAATTATAAATTTTTTCTTGAAATTAAATTTATTTCAATGTGCCATACAAAAATTATTCCTTTACTTATACAAATTTAAAAAGTCGAATTCTTTCCTATTTGACTTTAACAGGGAAAATTTTTCTTCATTTCTTATAATTGAATAATTCAATTCGAAGGAAAAGAAAATACTTTAAAATGTTAAAATGAATTTTTTTTTTTGCTGAAAGGTACTATTGAATATTCATGCATACATTCGAAATATTAAGACATTGTAATACATTTTAGAAAGAAAAAAATATTTTTACATTGTACTTACGTAAAATGTGAAATATAAATAAGAACATATACTAATAAATATATAATGTATGTATATGTACATGTTATACATACTTATGTTCGGCTTGGCATATATACAACACATAGCTGCTCACATCAAGAATATCTATAAAACTTTTTTCAAAACTTACCTATCACGAAAATTTTTAGTAGCTAATTTTGCTCTTGGAATTAATTGGGATCTTCTTGAATTTGGATTCAATGATGTTATTTGTAAATCATTAAAATTTTCTTCACGAATCACAGCTAAACTTCGAGTACGCCTCAAGCTGCAGGATTCATTGCCAAAATCAAATTTATTAAAATATAATGAATTTTGTGAGGTAAAATTTTCATCTGAAATTCAAAATGAATTTTTATATATAATCTAATTTTCATATATCTATTTTATTAATGTACATGTATTTGTATATTAGGAAATGAAATTGAATTAAGAAATTCTAATGAATACACAAAATGTAGAAAATTCTCAAAATTAAAAATATATTTTTTTATTTCTCGCTTCTACTTACCATCACAAGAATTATTTAAATTATTTTCATATTCAATTTCATCATCTTCATCATCATAATCTTTTTCTGGTTCAATTTTATGATAATATTCATGAAAATCGAAATTATTTGATGAATCTAATGAACGACTTGGTCTCAAATGATAATGTTGCGGATGTAAATGATTTTTTGATGATGTTCTTGTTACTGTTGATGATGTTGTTGCTAAATCAAGATGTGATATTGATTTTTGACGCCAACCGGATCCTCTGTCAGGTCCTTTTCGATTATAAATTGAATTATGATCGATTCTAACACGATCCACGTGATTATAACTGTACTCACCCGATCTGAAATATAATAAAATTTAATTTACAATTAAAATTTCATATAATTTGTTATAAACATTAAAAATATTTATCGCAATTGTGCAGAAATTGTCAAGTTTCTTTAAATTTATGTAGTTTAGATGCCGATTTTACATTTGTTACCATACTTACGGAAATAATCGATAGAATTCCCTGAAATTTAATATTTAAGTTCTCATACCGAAACAAACTGGCACAAAGCGAAACTCTACTAAGAACTAAATTTATAATTTTCTAGTTATGTATACTAAAAAATTACTAACGTCCTCAAAATAGGAAAGAAGTGTTTAAAAGGCATTTTCATAAATTAAGCAACCCTTTCGCTAAAGTAAATAATATACAATGCGGCCGGTTACGTACTGACGACATCTTTAACAATATTTATTCTTATATTTATGTTATTGCAAAATTTTGCAATATTTTTCATAAAAACTAAGGAAATACATATAGAATGTACAAATATTATGTATGTGATGAAGAGAAAGCATTTTACGTATCCTTACTGTTTATATTCAATTAAACAATCATCATACTTAATAATAATATAAGGGTATAAAATAGTCCTTAAATAATTTTAAACTTCCATGATATGAGCCTTCAGAAAATAATACGCACACACCTACAAATATGCATATTTCATATATTTAGATATGACCTTGTAAAGGAAAAATTAAAAAAATATTTTTAGAATTAATTTCATTCTTCCTTATAAGTAATTTATTTAATAACTCCATTGTGAATTACTAAAATAAATATCCTACACATACTATTAAAGTAAAATTTTGCAATTTGACTTTATATAGAGGAACTGGAAAATTTATTTAGAAATTTTTTTAATATACATACTTTTGTTTAGCAAAGAAAAAAGAGTTGGTAGCAAAATTTTAAAAATATAAATATGAAGCTTATTAAGGAACAAGTTTTTATTAACTTTTAATTTAATTAAAATTTAATAATTAAATCACCATAATTAATAAAAATCCTTTGTGTTTTTCAACATTTCAGTAATATTTTAATATTTTTCCATAATAAGTACAAAATTAAAGAAATACAAAAATAAATTTTGTTCATGCATTTTTAATTTCCTTTGAAAAACATGCGATGAAAGTGATGGAGAATTTCAGATAAAAATCTCCTTATTCCTAGTCTTATTGATGACACAATGCAGGCAATCATAACTTTTTCGTTATTGATTAACTTAATTTACTTAGGTTGTCCTAACTATGTGTCCTTTTAAAAAATTTCAGAAATTATACTTCAGAATGAAGTTTTGAGCACGAGTACATAATTCAAAGTACAAGTACGAAAAAGCACAACATATGATATTATTGGTTACTTATTTTTAGGATTAGGATTTCAAAAAGAAAAACATTATTGTATTTTAGAAAATAAAAGGAAGTTTACGAATCTTAGAAAATTTACAAATGCTACAGTGCTATCAATATTATCATTTAATTTTCAAGAATCCAAATTAATTTTTCATTTAATTTATAATTTTCAATAAATTAAACAGGTCATATATGAAAAATTTTTCAACCTTTTAAGAAAAAAAAAACAAAACTCTAAAAAACAAAATGAGAAAAAATTTCTAATTTACCATCACCATTTATTTTTTTAAAAAGGATTAAATTTATAACTTTTTAGTTTACGATAAACGACTATAAAAACCAAAAAACCTATAGTGTTTGATATTGGCCTGTAATATAAAATTACCGTAATTTGCTCCTTATTCTTCCCTCTTTAACTTTTTATACCCTGCACTTCGTGAAGGATATATTAACTTTGGTATGGAGTTTGTAACTACTTGAAGGAGTCATCTGCGGTATGGACATATATATATATTCTTGTTCAGTATAAAATTCTGCGTCGATTTAGACATGTCCGTCTGTCCGTCCGTCCGTCCGTCCGATCGCACGATAACTCAAAAACGAATAATGCAATCGACACCAAACTTTCACAAGTTTTCTCTTTTGCGCCAAGGAAGAGCCCTATTGTTATTGGACTAATTCGGACAACGGGTTCGGGTAGCTGCCATACAACTCAAAGAGTTTATTTTAAATATTTCAAAAACTAATAAAGCTATAAATATAAAATTTTGTATACATTTGTCCAATTATATTCTACACATGCTCTAAAAATTATAATGGGATAGCTGCACCGGTTCGGGTGGCTGCCATACAACTCCAACACCAAATTTTTTATATTCGGAAAAATAATAAAGTCAGATTCATGAAATTTGGCAGTCATGTGTCCAATTGTAGGTCAAATATATTTCTGAAGTTTTAGAGGAATTGCCTGACAGGTTCGGGTACCTGCCATACAACTCCAGAAGCTTATTTTAAATATTTGGAAAAATAATATAGTCAGATACATGAAACTTGACAGTTGTATGTCGAGTTATAGGTCAGATATATTTCTGAAGTTTTAGTGGAATTGTCTGACAGGTTCGGGTACCTGCCATACAACTCCAGAAGCTTATTTTAAATATTTGGAAAAATAATATAGTCAGATACATGAAACTTGACAGTTGTATGTCAAGTTATAGGTCAGATATATTTCTGAAGTTTTGGTGGAATTGCTTGACAGGTTCGAGTAGCTCCCATACAAGTCTAAAAGCTTATTTTAAATATTTGGAAAAATAATAAAGTCAGATTCATGAAACCTGGCAGTTGTGTGTCGAGTTATAAATCAGACATATCCGTGAAATCTCTATAAAATGGTTTCACAGGTTTGAGTAATTGCTATACAACAACGAAAGATGCAGGGTATAATTCAATCGGTTTATACCGACTGAAACGTTTTTACTTGTTTATTTGTTCTTTGTGTCTTCCGGTTTGATAAAAGATGCAATTATTTATATGGTAAAAACGAAAATGAGTATAAAATAGACTCAACACACATTTACGATAAATGAAAATTAAATTAAAAGAAAATCGAAAGAAAATTGTTTTTCTTGTATACGACAATTTTTTTGTATATTATCAGGCCCCGTTTATTCTTGACCAAATAAAATAGATCAAAAATAACCATTAAACTGTCACTTTAGCTAATCACATAACCATAAAATGTTCGGTAAAATTAATTTACTTTGTATATAATTGTATCTTTTGTATATAACTTGTATATATGCACATACGAGTATGTATGTAAATGTAGGCATGTTAGATCGTTCAAGAAGACGCACAAAAGAATTGAAAATTAACAATATATTGAAAAAATACAAAAAAAAAGAAGAAAAAAATATAAAAATTAATTTTCCTTATCATTTTTTCTTTGTCTAACATCGAATTATTTATTTGGAACAAACATAAACACACTACCATATACACATTTAGAAGTACATGTATAACGTATTGTATCTTTGAGCTAAGCAATGAAATTTATTTTGTTCAATTTCATAAGCAAGAGACGGGAACAAAAATCGGAATGAATGAAAATAAAGTTTTTGAATAAAGAAAAGAATGCAATAAAAAATCAATATAAAGAAAATTGACAGGTTCCATATTTGATCAGAATCATATAATAAGTTTAACATATTGAATAATAAAATACAAATTTATTAAGGGATTTAGTCTAGAAGTATGGTCTGTAATTGGTGTTTATGTCAAAAATATTATATCATAACAAAATCGACGACTTTTATAAAATATTGACGTGTCAAATATAGGAATGTGTTAAACATTGTAAATGTAAAATTGCAAAAGATTATTAAACGGTAAAATTATTAACTATTGAATATGATGTGCTAGGTATACATTTCGTACTGCATATATGAAGTACATATTATGTATCTGCCCTTTTTAAGGTGTCTTATAACACTCTATAGCCTTAAAGTATGAGTTGAAATTTCTAGAAAATTCGTCGAGCTGATATTAATTTTACACCACTAACTTCACAAATTTCCCCGTGAGTGTTTTACGAACGATAAAAAAATTAACACTGAATAAGAGAGCAGAAAACAGTACGAAGGTATAGAGGTTAAAGAATTTGAAAGTGTGAGAAAAAGATATAAGGAAGTAAATCAAAGAAATAGAGGAAGATGTTAAATTTACAACCAACTCGTCAGTTAAAAGTTTGTTATATCGCAGTTCTTTGTATATGGAAAGGAATTCTGTAATAAAATTACAAGATTAAACACTAATAATAATTCACCGAATTAATGAGACCTTTAATGGATTTTCACTGCTGAAAATTATTAATTAAAGTACAGTACAATCAAAGTATTTCCGGCAATTAGAAACAAATCCTTCCTTGTTTTTCCGAATTGTGTATATCTATAGGGTTATGTATAGGAGAAACAAATTTTCGTTAATTTTCGTCTTTATATTAATTATATAGGATACCTTTATATTTTAAGAAAATCGCAAGAATTCAAAATTACTATTAGAAATTTGAAATTCAATATTTCAATCTGAAATTAATAAAAGATAATTTTCATTCTTTCATTAATGGAAAAATTAAAAAAAAAAATTATTAAAAAATGAAAAAAAAACTCACGTACTTCTCTTTAGTTTTTAACAAATTTAAATAAACATTTTTTACCACAAAACTTTAATTCACAAAATCTTTAGTTCAAAATACGTGGCTGTTAACCTACAAGAAAAATACAACACTTTCACTCCCACACACAACAAACACACCATCCAATATTACTCGTTTTACACATAATTTTTAACATACCACTCACACACACTTATACTTCTAAAAGAAAATGAATAATGATAAAATGTTATCCCCTTGAAGCATCAATAAAAGAAAACATAAGAGAAAAATAAAAGAAAATATTTTTAATACAAACACATTCCATGTGGTGTTTGGATCAAGAACAAAATGAAAATAAAAGAATGAAAATAAGAAAAAAAAAATAAATGAAAAATGGGGAAATAAGACAGAAGTTTTTTTTTTTTTTTTTATCTGTAATGCAATAATAAAAAGGACGAATTAAAGTATAACAAAGGATTTTTTTTTTATTTATTTCTTTTTTTCTTCCATTTTCT